GGCCAGGCGGGGTGAGGCTTTGAGCAACGTGGTCTAGTGGAAGGTGTCCCTGCTCATGGCAGGGGGGTTGGAACTGGATGATCTTTAAGGTCCCTTCCACCCCAAACCATTCTGTGATTCTATGATAATCAAAACCAGAAATCCTGAGTACGTAGTATAATGAATAAATAAAAAGGTGATAGAATAGAAACCACAAGTATTTTGGTATCTAGAGGGATGAAATGTATAAATAGTAGGAAAGAGAAAATACAGAGAGAGAGAGTAATTGTTGAGCTTCAAAACTTTGGTTTTATATTGAATTATTGCTAAGAAATGCTTAACCTGCATGGGAAGGTTTCCTCAGTCTTCTGTCAGAGTCAGGTACAGGTCTGTGATGAGGGTGGGGATTGTGGAGGTGTAGCTCTCTGCATTCTGAGTGCTGACATCTGAACTGGGTCCCATGACTCCATCTTATTTAATGAAGCCAAGACAAGACTCATTTCTCTCATCCTCAAGTATCCACCTACATTTTGGTCAGGTGAATCCTCTGTTTTGGGCCATCTGTAAGTGGAAACTTCTGCATAAATATGGCTTCAATATTAGAGGGACCCCTTTTGGAGTAGACTTTTTATTGTACAGTTTCAAATACAAACTCATCTTTATTTGTTTATTTTTTGTGTTTTCTTTCAAAATCTTCTTGCCTGTGATGTTTTCTCGCCATCTCTTATATTAACATGATTTAAAAGCAGCCTGGGAAAATAGTGTCCTGAATTTTTTCCTGATGTAGCAATATAATAAAATCTAATAATTTAATAGTTGTTATCTTTAGCATGCTGAGGCATATTGAATGAGTTAAGATGTTTTAGGTCTACAGGACTATTGCAGTGGTGTGAATAATACGTTTTTTTTGGGGTCTGCTTTTTCAGTACAGTCTGTACATTGTGTTTTGACAGAAATCACAGTTTATTTCTCATGTTCAGCATGACTTTTTTTACCTTTTTATATTGATATAACTTTTTTAAACATTTCTTTCTGTTTCAGTTTCCTTTCTTCTGGGGATATTGCTTGCATGGCAATCTGTTCCAGCAATTACTCAACCATCATGGCGTTTTGCTTCCTGGAAGAGCTTCAGTGGGAATTTACTGCTTCCTACGATACAACAAGCATCAGTTTAGCTTCCAGACCATATGCTTTTCTTGAATTTGGTTTGTAACTTTGTCCTCTAATAGTAAGAATTCTGTGTCTGCTACTTTTATGATGTTAAACTACATCTCCTGGCCAAAGCCTGATCATAAAAATGAATCTGTGTGTGTCTTTGCATGCATGTGTAGGAGGAGGGGGAGATCTTGTAACTGCCTTAAACTGTTAGATGGTTGGTTTTGCACTTCCTGAGAGCCCCTGTAACAGATGAACAAAATGCTGTGGTGATAAATAAACAAGCACAGAAGAAAAAGAAATCCACATCTCAAACATTTTCTAACTTAATTAAAAAAATCTGACAAGTAGAGACAGATGGGTACAGGAAAAAAGGGAGACAGAATAAATTATGATGGGCAGATTTACTTCTGGTGTGACTTGGATTCACATAATACTTCATCATCATGCCCAGTGTTTCTTTTTTAACCTGATATAAATGTTGTTTTGGGGTTTTTTTGCCAAGTAGCAGCTGCTCTACTGAACCTCACACCTTTGAAAAACACAATTCCCTTGCAGTGAGGAATTCTTTCCTGGGAAAGGATAAGATATTGCAGTGATTTAGCACATGTCTATCCAGATTTTGGTAACAGTGTTAAGCTCATGCTTAAAAAATTGAGAAATCCACAGGGAAAGCATATTATACAGCGACCTTGTATTTTGGGTGGATTCCATGCAGGGTGCATTCCAGGCATGATGTAATTCTATATTGACATCCAAATTACTCCTTTTTTTAAACTTGAGTAGGAATTTGGGAATTTCTATCCTCTTTTAATTCATAAGGCTCTTTTTTTTAAAAAAAGGCAATTAAAAAAAATGTATTTTTACTATTATACTGTATTTTGCTACTGAGTCTGCCTGATGTTGCTGTGTGGTTTTTGGGTTTGTTTTGGTTTCTTTTTCCTCTTCTTTCCTGTGTTTGGAAGATGCACTTGATGCCTAAGGTCTTAGCTTTTGCCTGGTAGCTACAGATAATTTAGGGCTGACTTAAAGCAAAATACAGAATTTTTCAGTAAGGAATGCTCGTGGCACTGCGTGATGTCCTCCTGTGTGGTCTCAAAACTCATGCTTAAGCTATTACACATGTATCATATCCAGTAGTAGCTGGGGTCAACCTATGCAAGTCTTAAGAATATGGATTTTACTTACAGAATATCTTAGCAAAATGAATGTTTCTGCATTTAATTTCCCTAAGCATTTCAAATTGCTTGAATTTGCACAATTAAATAGGAAGTAGCAGTATCCACAGTGAGGTTCTTCAGCTCTGGAGGTCTGAGCAGTTTGTGCTCAGCCAAATTCTCGACTTAATCTCAGTGCAGCTCCTGTCAGTGCAGCAGACGTGTTTGTGGAAAGGGATTTGCTTGCAAATGATACTAAAATTAAGGTGTGAGAGATGGAGCAGGGTGATCTATACATAAATCTGTGGCTTGGGTGTTGGTGGAATCACCATGGAATTGCCTCTGCCAGTCAGAGTTGCTTCATGACTCAAATACAGATTGAATTAATTTATCCCTTTGCTGGGAACAACCTAATCCTTGAGACTGTTGAAACACGACATGGATTTGTTTCTCATGGTAGTTCATGGGTAGTTTGAGATAGTTAACATCTACCCTGGAGTATGAAAGCTTGTTTTCAGTGCACAGGCAGGCAGGAGGTCGAGATTTAAAGTATTCAGAAGGGAGTGAGTATGATATAAAATACCTAGGAAGAGTATTTTTGTTTTCTAATCAATGGTGGAATTTTATACCTGAAACTAATAAGAAAAGAAATGAAGGAAGAAATAAAAAACAATCAAAAAAGAATGCCATGATTTAATTAACAATCACCTCAAGCACTTATTTTTACAGAGCTAATTGAATCATGTTTTTCTATTGTTTCAGATAACATTATTCAGAAAGTGAAAGGCCATTTTAACTCTGCACGTGGCTCTCGAACAGAGGCCAACTGGGAGAAGATTGAAGAGGAGCTGAAGTTCCAGCCCCCGGTTCAGCTGAAGCTGGAGGATACAGAGCTGATGAATGGGATGGCTAATGGTGGGCATGCAGGTGTGCATGTGGAGGTTGGTAAGTTACTACTATGCACAGGTGACAGTAGACTTCCTGAACTTTGCAAATGGCAGGAGAACATGTAACAGCAGTGTATCATGTGTATGGGACCCAAGGAAGAAGACTGCCTTTCTATCATAGTAAACAACACATGGTCTTTAGATGATAGCAGGTGTGTGTCTCAGCCTTTAAGGACTCGTGATGGTGTGTTTTTTCCCAGCCTTAGATCAGCTTGTCTACGTGGACAATTGACTTGGCATTTTCTATGTTAAATTCTCTTGCACCCTCAGTCAGTTTGCAAACGACACCAGTCTGGGTGGGAGTGTTGATCTGCTTGAGGGCAGGGAGGCTCTGCAGAGGGATCTGGCCAGGCTGGATCCATGAGCCAGGACCAAGTGCATGAGGTTCAACAAGGCCAAGTGCTGGGTCCTGCACTTGGGTCACAAGAACCCCCGGCAGCGCTCCAGGCTTGGGGAGGAGTGGGGGGAGAGCTGCTGGGCAGAGAGGGACCTGGGGGTGTTGGTGGTAAGCGGCTGAACATGAGGCA